TGTAGGTACTTGCCAAACATCTCTACTTATCTATCAACCTAAGATGGATCAGCAGATAGGTAGGTACCTGCCAGACCTACCACTGAAAAACTTAGCACTGAAGAAGGGCTAGCCCCGAAACATGTGCTTAATAATTGGCTTTTTGCTGCTATTTAAATTACCATCTATAACTTTTGAATCAGCCAAACATGCCTCACATGTACCTAAGTAGGTAGGTAGAGGCTTCGCAAGCGGGTACAAGCCGAGATAGACAGGCATGTTTGTCGGTGGGTTGGTAGGTAGATAGGTATTATTTACCTACTTGTTCATGTTACTGAAAAATAGTTGTTGTTCCATTTTTTCTTAAAGGTTGCTCCATCGCTTTAAATGAAAGCTTTGGCCATATAGACTATACAGGCACGAATTACAATTACCTTCGATGCAGTTGGGTTATTCAGAACGCTGGTATACACGAAGCTATCGCTTTGATTTCCGTACAAGAAATAAATCTTCAATATTGCAGGTAATGTGAAATGGTTATTTATTTAAGAAATAGAAATCTTGTTCCTTGTTTCTATCGAGTTACAGAAGCACGAGTGGAAGTTTGGGGAAAACGCAAAATACGGTGGGAGCACAAGCCGAAACTATCTTGAGCGGTTTTCAATTGAGTTTCGTGGAACCAAAACCGAAGTAATCACTCTAGCTAATCACAGAATACCCAGAAAATCCAGTGAGCCAATCAAAACTCGAAGTAATTGCATGTAGCTGACGCGAAGCGCGGGAAAACAGATGCGAACGAGTTACGATTGGTTTTGGTTTTACTTCTGATTGGACGATAAAGTGGCGCGAGTTTTTTGAGCCAATTACGTAGCGTAGTTATGCAAAACCAATTACTTTTCGACACTCTATTTAACAACTAGGTTATGGGCTCGTGATATCAACCAATCAGATTGCAGCACTTGCATTAGTATACTAGTAGAATTCTACCAAAACTCGATAGGAACACTGTACACGTCTTTTCTTTTAGAAAATACCGCGAGGAGAAAAAAAAAAAAGACGAGAACTTGTTTACTTTGATTATCAAAATTTAAATTATCTTTGTTCGCGACATAATTACGTCAACAGCTCGTGCTAGCTCTTTGTCTGACCAACGTGAAAGACAGAGACGAACCTAACAACAGACAGGGAGCAGTTTACAAGATCAAATGCTC